AACGAATATCTCCATTGACTGCGAGAAATATGCGATTCCTATGACATGCATATGGATAGAACAGGAATTAAGAAAAAGGACAAAATAGAACACAAAATAACACTGAACGAACGGTAGAACAACTAACGATGCGCGGTGGTCCGGGCGCGGACCACCGCGCGCTTGAAGCAGCACCGCCGGCATTCAATATTTTTGCATGGCTGTAACAAGGCGGGGAGGAGGTGGTTTAGGGAGGTCAAAAAATGATTTGTATTGTTTCAAATGTAGTTTGATTCATTGAAAAGCGTGAAAAATTCAGGTGGAGTGATGGGAATATATGACCTTGTTACTTTGAGGCCACCTCAGGTGCTCTCCGGCTGGCTCAGAAGCTACCTGGCTTTAAAAGAAGTTTGCCACGCCTAATTTTCAATATATATTTTCAACTCTCCATTGTGCATCTACGCACCAGTAGCGTACCGAGGGGGGGGGGCGCTCCCCCTCCCCCCGAGAATGGGTCGTGAAATTTTTGAAAGTTACTTATAAGGGTTATAAAAATGTGCAAATAACTTGTTTATACTTGTAAATAATTAAAATAATTTTTAAAAATTTTTAAAAATCCAAATTAGCTTGTAAAAAAAATTTTTTCCGGGGGCGTGGCTGACGTCACGCCCCCTTTTTCCAGATTTTAGGGGTTGGGGACCCACAAAAATTTTGAGAAGCACCCCTAAAATTTTTTCGGAGTGCGTGGCTAATGCCACGCACCTTCATTCGAAAAAATTTTTTGTCGCGCTCCCCCCCCCCCCGAGCGGAAATCCTGGGTACGCCACTACTACGCACCCAAATTTGTGCCATATCATTTGCTCTTCGCTGCAAACAAGCCTTTTGTTTATTTCAGGGTGCATTTTTCAATTGCCGTGCTTGCACGGAGAGCATATTACATAGAGCGGGAAAGCTGGTTTTACAGAGAATGGGATTGATAGGGCAGTGATAGCACTTGCGATGTCCAGAAGAAGAGGAAGTGGAACGGTTGTGGAGAACTGGGGGAGGGAAGGGGGGGAGGGAGAGAAGAGATAAAAATTGGGTGTAAGTTTGCGTATGATATACAGTGACCGCCAAAAAGTTGCGGACAAGCCGCCTTCCTTTTTTCATCGCTCATTTTCGGATGGAAAACAAAGATGAAAAAATGTTTTGTTTGCATGAAGTGATAGAGCTCTTCAAGAGCCACAACCCATACATTGTGCTTTCTGGAAAACATGCATTTAAAAATTAAAAAAAATTTTTCTAAGAAGAGTCCGAAAGTGGCCGCGTCACAATGTCGCGGACAATAATTCTTCGAACGCAAAAATTTCCTTTTGGGTCCTATTTTTAAGTGGAAACACAAGTAATCCGAACAGGTAAGCATACTACATCGTAGGGCTCATCGAGGACAATGATCAGGTAGTGGTTATTTCCAAGAAAACCCAAACTTGAATTTTATTTTGCTTTTTTTCAAAAAATAACTTCTATTTCCCTTTTTCAAGCCAAATTTTTTCACATGTAAACCTATTCAAGACATCCTAACAAAGCTGTTCGACTAATATGGATGCTTTTTGCCATCTTGTATGCATCGGACGTGTGTTGGTGAGTTTCTTTGCTGAAAATGGCTCTTGACACTGCGTGCACATAATCCCACCTGCACCTCACCACTGAATTGCACCGCTTTGCAGGCTTGTAGCTCGGCCGTCAGTCACTCTACGAGCCTGAAATTAGGCTCATTCGAAAGAACGAGACTTCCTCTATACGATGATATGCAAAGGAGTTCAGTTTCAGAAATAACAGAGATTTGGCGGATGGGGTGAAAAAGTGCAGCCTTAGAGGTGATTGGAGTGAAAGCTCTTATGAACACCAGAACAGTCTTAAAGCTTCGAAATGGATCTATTACATATAAATTGACGGTTTTGAACTTCCAGAATGGAACTAGTAGCAAAAGGAGCTTTGCTCAACTTCTGCTGAAAAATCCTTACCATACCATAGAAGCTGCGCTCTGTCACCCCATCCGCCAAATCTCTGTTATTTCTGAAACTGAACTCATTTGCATATCGTCGTATAGAGGAAGTCTCGTTCTTTCGAATGAGCCTAATTGCAGGCTCGTAGAATGACTGCCGGCCGAGCTACAAGCCTGCAAAGCGGTGCAATTCAGTGGTGAGGTGCAGGTGGGGTTATGTGCACGCAGAGTCAAGAGCCATTTTCAGCAAAGAAACTCACCAACACACGTCCGATGCATACAAGATGGCAAAAAGCATCCATATTAGTCGAACAGCTTTGTTAGGATGTCTTCAATAGGTTTACATGTGAAGAAATTTGGCTTGAAAAAGGGAATTAGAAGTTATTTCTTGAAAAAAAGCAAAATAAAATTCAAGTTAGGGTTTTTTTTGGAAATAACCACTACCTATTATTGTCCTCGATGAGCTCTACAATGTAGTATGCTTACCTGTTCGGATTACTTGTGTTTCCACTTAAAAATAGGACCCAAAAGGAAATTTTTGCGTTTGAAGAATTATTGTCCGCGACATTGTGACGCGGCCACTTTCGAACTCTTCTTAGAAAAAGATTTTTTAAATTTTTTAAATGCATGTTTTCCAGAAAGCACAATGTATGGGTTGTAGCTTTTGAAGAGTTCTATCACCTCATGCAATCAAAACATTTTTTCATCTTTGTTTTCCATCGGAAAATGAGCGATGAAAAAAGGAAGGCGGCTTGTCCGCAACTTTTTGGCGGTCACTAGGTGGCAACAATGTAGTAAGTTCTGTTTATCAAAGTGGAGACTGGAAAATTTTATTGGATCAAGAGGCGTAAAATGGCCAACTCCTCAAAGTTGAGGATTATTTATAGTTGCGTAATCAGAAAACATCATCGTACTGAGCTAAAATATGCATTTGAGCTCCACCGCGAACCCTCAAAACTATCCAGTCTGCTCCGTAAACCGCCTGTGCCGAGCCTTGAGCTGGAGTCGTTTCTTAGTCAAACATATCGTCTTTTTCCAATCAGCATAATTCTCTCTAACGCAATGTGAACTGAAGGGCTGACGCTGTGCGACAATGTTGACAATCATGCTAATAACGCGGCATTAGCAAGTTTGTCTATGTTGAGATCATGAAAGACAATATGTTGCACATTAGTTGCAGATCGGCATTTGCAAATTAGTTCATTTCTGGCAGCAAAAAAACCGCATGCCTATAATTTTGAGCTCTTTTTAGGTGTTCTCGCCTCTCTTGTACTTCTTGATTAGATCTTCTTGATTAGATCTTGATAAGTAACGCAATCAAGTCTGCTTTTCATGGCTTCTCTTGTTCCCAGATAGTCTTTCACCATGTTTACACTTACACTGTGGTTGAGATACCAAATTTCAAATTTTCCTCAATGAGAAACGTAAAGGGGTCAGGCCACGCTTAAGCATCTCGGAAAACATAGGCGAGTTACTAATTCGAATACTAAAGAGTCGTTGTGCTCATTCAAAAAGGTGAATTTGCGGGCGCACGGCTACCACAGCGAACGCTCCTGCAAGTCCAGCACCTTTGGTACTGGTTCACTAGTCCGTGTGATATTTTCCTCCACATATTCATGAGCATAAAAGTCAGCTGTGCACATTTCTATCAAAATCATAGAACCATTGCCTGAAGTAGCCAAAAGGTAAGGTCATCGAGGGCGTAAAACCGTATACCCTGCCATGTTCTTTTCTCAAAGAGGGAGATGTGAAATGCTGATCATGTGCCATTTATTCGGCTTTGAAACATTATTGTGCTATATATAATTGATGGTATTATGCTCCGCATAACAACCCGATGATGTCAAAAAGCAAAAAGCGATTTATTCTTTTGCAAAAGTAAGCGTTCTAAAAGAGGAAGAGCTAAAAAATCCGTTGACCGAAACTGCATGACGCACGCATCGGCTGCTTTGTTATATATGTGAACCTAAATGTTTCCAGACTCAACGCGGGCCCTTCTAGGGGGTTACCAGACGAATCAAATTTACCATTTGGAACTAGTGAGAAATTCGCTCGAAGATAAGAAAGCTCTCGAGTGCGTAATGTCAATCACATTAGATTAACAAAACTGAAATTTCATTTTCTTAAATGAATGATCATTTGCATTAGGGGGCGAGATCTTTCCATCTTCGTGATATTATTATAGATTGGAAAGAAACTAACACCATTGCTCAGGCCAGAAACTGAGAAAACATTCGAGAGAACAAAGCAAGCTCCAACAAACATCTGCCCTTATCCTAATTTGCTTAAAGCTTGAAGCTGAAATCAATGAACAATTCATAACGCTAAAAATCGGATCTTTGCTCCAAAATTTGCAAGGGGCTTTTCCGAGAATAAATCGCGTAACTTTCGAAATTAGTCTGCATGATTCAAAAAAACTTGTTCTCACTTGTTTTCTGCAAATTTCTCAAGTTTCATTTATGTTAGAATTATTTTTCTTTTTCCAAAATTTTGGGATTATAGGTCCGTTGAAATTTAGTGAAGCGTACTACAAACTTCAACTAATTACCCTAATCCCATGAGTACAATACGCACTTGTTTTTTTCTGAATTCGAAGAGCCTGGACACACTATAACATTTTGCGACCAAAGGCTGTACAGTACTGCGTGTTGCCTAAGAGTATCGTGCTGCATAAGTTTCGTTTTCCGAAACACAACGAGGCAGCTAAGCGGCTCGCTCGAAAAAATCGAAAAGATCGTCTTGTACTCTTGAAACTAGGGTAAGTATGACCTTGAACATCTCAATTATTGAGAGACATCATTTGAGCCCACAAAACTCGAACAAAGCCTGCAACCAAGCAGCTCAGAGTCGTACGCTCTACATTTACATTCATTCAAAATCCACATGGAAAGGGAAAAAGCGGCGCAATTCGCAATGTTTCACACTACTAGGAATAATTTCTTGCGAAATAAAGATAAAAAATTCATAGAGGAAGATAGGGCAGGAGGTCAAACAAGTCGTGCAGAATAATTTTGCACGGTCAAAGCTGCAGGTAGTGATGGATCTGGTTGTGGTAGCAGCAGAACAGGAAGACACACCAGTGTCCGGTTCTGATATCGATGCGACATCCATAGACGGCACTGTAAAGCGCGAAGTATTTTCACACCCAACTACATGGATATCGCGCTCAGTGGCGACGCCGCTCGGATGTGGGTCAAGAACGAGCGCGACACTCACGATTGCGGTTTCGTTCCCACACCTCCAACTTGAATCGTTCCAGCTGGAACAGATGCTTCGGAACTTCTATTCTGTTCAAACCCGACGCAGTATGCCCTGCTTTCGTTTTATCTCTATGTCCCAACAACTTCTTTCTCATGCAGATAACCTATCAAATGGCTTATTAGCTTCACTCAATTTCATGTTCCACTGTATGCTAAAAATTTTTACATTTTGCAGTATTTCAAACTTGACGGCATTAAATGGACCTTAGGGAATTTTCAAGTACCCGAATTGGAAAAATATTACGTCCTCACAGATTGTTACACTTTCTTCGTCTTCCTCCAGAAAGCTAAGAAAGTTTCATATTTGGCATTCGCGAGAAAGGAACAAAGGGTTTAGCATTGTTTTCCCTTTATGGATATGAGCTACAGCAAATGTAAAAGTCAATCTCCAATATTTTCTTTACTTTGTGAAAATTCTCCTATTCTTTTTTGATCTTCTTAGATGTTTTATGGGCTTCGGGGAGCCTAAACTGGAGGAAAAAAACATTCATTGTATAACTTCTTCAAAAAATTTTTTTCTTCATTTCCAACTGTTGTGGAGGACCATGATCAAGCCCAAGTTCTTCAATGACACAAGTTGGAAATCTGCCAAAAATAATCCGAAAAAATTTCAAAAATTGATTTTTTGTATGTGATACGTATGAATCGAGAATCCGTGATCCCCCACAATATTTGGAAATGAAGAATTCTCTTGGAGAAGTTACGAAGATTTTTTCTTTCAAGTATAACAGAACTTATGTAACAAGCCAATACAAAATGTGTTCTTTTCCCTCCAGCTTGCCCCGATATACCAACAATAATATTTGCCCCGAGCGCTGCTAAAAAGCGGATTTACTCTACCCGGGGGGCGAAAGTTTCTCACCCGAGCCATATTCTCGCACCTAAGTGATGTGCCTGCTAGGCACATCCGAGCTCGCTACAGTTACGAGCTCCTCAGCAGACCAAGACATCGCAAGCCCCGCCCCCTCATTTAGTGTGTTCACTCCAGATGATGAAACCGGAATTTCAAGGAAGCTTTCGAAATCGAAGTTCAGAAGTGAATTTGCTCCAATCAAGACCAAATTTCGGATTCAGGGATTTTTGAAGTTGCTCTTTTCAGTAGTGTGATTTGTTGTTGCAAAGTTGACGTTTAGCAAAGATGATGCTAAACTGCTGATGCTCTTGATCAAGATTAAAATCCGGATTTGGAGGTTTTCAATCTATTTCAATACAAGACCAAAACTCAGGTTTAAGGATTCTTGAAATTGCTTTTTTGATAACGGTATATGTTTTGTGCAATATCAATAGGATTTGTTTTTTGGACAATTTTTTGGAGAAAAAAATGTTCTTTTCGCAAAAATCGGGTTACTTTCGTAGAATTGTGCCAGATGCAGGAACACGTATGTGATTCCGTAGTGTTTTCTTCTCCTGACTTCATTCTCAAGAATAGGTCAAGGTACAACACGTATAATGACCCAGCTAAGTACTTCTTGAAACCTGATATAGCACAGGTTACTGAGGTCATCGAGGCTGGCTCAATGCCAGAAAGCTTCATAGTAGACTGGGAAGCTCGGAGTAGTGTCAAACAATAGAGAAAAACATCTTTATTATTTTGGAAACATTTATATTCAAACTTGTTCTAGTTTTTAGGAAAAAATTTCATATAAATCCATGCCACGGATATTTTTCAATTGTCCATTCATAAATTTTCGAGAACCCTTAAACCTGACTTTTGGTCTTGTATTGAAATAGAAAACTGAAAACCTCCAAATCCGAATTTTAATCTTGGTTAAGCATCATCTTTGCTAAACGTCAACTTTGCAACAAACAAATCACACTACTGAAAAGAGCAACCTCGAAAACCCCTAAATCCGAAATTTGGTCTTGATTGGAGCAAATTCACTTCTAAACTTCGATTTTGAAAGTTTCTTTGAGATTCTGGTTTCATCATCTGGAGTGAACACTAAGTGAGGGGCGGGGCTTGCGATGTCTTGGTCTGCTGAGGAGCTCGTAACTGTAGCGAGCTCGGATGTGCCTAGCAGGCACATCACTTAGGTGCGAGAATATGGCTCGGGTGAGAAACTTCCCGCACCCACTCTACCCAGTTCTTGAACCAACGAATTCACCAAAACTAGAAGAGCTTTTGATTTTCCAAAAAGTATGGTCAAGACCAATGGGAGTACCTAATATACACACATGATACCGCATTTCGGAATTTTTGACAATTTCAGATGCTGCCAATATTCACTAATTATTACATTGTTTTTTTTGCAGAATTTAACCAGGTTGATCATGAATGCGATTTAGCGGCGAGTATGACTTTTGTAACTTCAGAAGAGAAGTACGTGCTTGAAGAGAGAAGAGAGTGAGAAGAACTGGTTGCTGTGTTTTGGTGCTTCAAAGAGCTAATGTTCCAGAGGTTCATACTTGAAATCACTTATTGCTACTCGTTACCATAAACAGCTTGTTCAAGCTGTGTACAGATGTTGTTCCGTAGGTCACACCTCTGCTGGTCTCTTACAGACAACGGACTTTTATATCTACAGCACTCATCCTGTGCTCATGACTAGGTCAGTTATTTTTCACACCCTCGAAGTCTAAATACCCTCTGCTTGACGTATTTGACAAAGAACTCTGTAGTAAGCTTGTACAATCTGTTCGTTAGCTGTATTTTGAATCCTTAAGCACTGCCCTGCCGCCTTTTGGAGTCTTACATCTACATATCTCTCTCTGCAGCCAGCTATACATCTCAGACTCAAATTCTATCTCGCTCTTTGCCACTTTTTGCGAGTAAGATAATAATGGTCATCATAAGAGGCAAAGAAAGATATTGGGGCAAAAGGACAGAGGTCATTGACTCCATGCCAGTCCCCCCGCAACCTTGCAAAAGCAATTTTTGCGGTGGTGAGTGACTCGGTACATAGTTACTCGCATATATGTATTAGGATGAAAGGAAAGAATGTCGCTTTCCCGGATTTTCCAGCTAAAATTGATTACAGGAAATAGGGCGTATGTGAGCAAATCTTATGGATTGGATTTCAAAGGTTTGTAGCATGCAACGGCACACATAGGAGGAACCCGGGATTATTGGGGCGGAGTTTGCAATCTTCCGTTTCAATTTTTCTTGTTTTCTAAACATGACAAAAATCAGCAAGCGTACCTATGGATAATGCATATGTCTGTTATGAAGCAAGTAAGAGGTTTGTAGAATTTTTTGAGGCGAAAATCGATTTTTTTCATCATGAGTCGCTCTTCTGTTTTGGCTTTGAACTTTGCGCAACCACAACTTTTGTCAAGTTTCAGTAAGTTTCAGATTTAGTAATGCCGAGCTACAAACTAGCTCGGCATTACTAAAACTTGACAAAATTTGTACAGCCTCACCGATCTGATCCTCGAAAGTCTGCTGTTGATCACAACACTGTTGTTGTAGGATAATCGCATCTGTATTGAACGTCAGCGTCGGCTTGATAAACCAGTTCTCTAGGTATCTAGCTTCCATTTGATCTCTTTATTTCTATAAATTTGAAAAGTGTTATTGAACCCACCATTTTCATGTCAAAAATGCGTCTCCGTTCATTACAAAAATATGATTTGTCATTTTAGGTTTCTCCACTATCCTTCGTGCGAATTTGGTTGCGATGTTGTTGAGTTGGTTTTTTCTTGTAGTTAGCACGCAACTAGCAAATTTCGTGAAAAGGAGACAAAACTAAAAACAATCAGATCGTGAAAGTAATAGCATAGTCGAGTGGTGGGAAGTTCATTAGGAAACAAGCCTTCAAGATTTAATAAGCTTTGTGGAAAAGTTTTTTCAGCGGCAGCCGCGCTCAATTTGATATGCGTAAAACTTTTTCTGGGGATTGTGGTTTTCATGCCTATGTGTAGTGTCAAATAGGAACTGATTTTTTGATAAAATATAATAAATATAAAAATATACTTCATTTGGACTCTTCCCATCTATACATAGATTGAAATAATGGTCTTTTCTTAACAGTTCTTAACTCAAAACCAAACAAAGGCTCTGTTATCTCAAACCCATCCATATTCTGTTGAGAGTAAGTTAGTAGGAATAAAGTCGTATCTGCAGTTATTTTCCTAACAATTAGTCTGAGCTTTGTTACTACTATAGGAAATTTTGAAAGCAAAAGTGCAAAAATATAAGAGAAAGTACAAAACCTCTATATCAGAAAATTAGGTTAGCCAGCTCAAGCAATATTTAGGTAACTATGCGAATCCAAATCCGCGTATTGTTTAATCAACAACAAATTTCATGTGGTGGATACACAGTTAATAATGTATGCACTTTAGCAGAGCACCCGGCTCATATGAGTAGTTATAAAGTAGGAAACGATTTCCTAGCTGTAGAACTTACCGAAAAAATATTGAAAACAAGACATTTCAACTCTCCTTCAACAGAAAAAATACCATAAATGCGTTGGCAACATGCCTCCGTTGAGGCACCGCAGTCTTTTTTCCGTAAAACTTTCTATTTCATTGGTACTTCTTTCACATTTCTATAGATCAACGGATGTAATAATTTCATTTATAAAAGCTTGGTGCTCTCGTATGTATCAGGCAAAGGAAAGAATGTTGTTATTATGCTGAATACTGTTGTAATATCAACTGTGAACTTTTTGTGCTTCATTTTTCATATGTTCAACATCCATCGTTGGTGTAACGCCAAAGACTTACAACTTGCTCCATTCCAAGTAATCTTTTCAATTCAGCAACCATGGTGAGTAATAATAATAAGTCAACAATTAGTCAACCTGCTGCTCAAATTCCATTTTCGCGTGTTCTGCCGGGAGAGGAAAGGATACATGAGAATGTCTTTGTTGACAGTAAGTTGATCAAGAATTCTCACTAAAGCGCTTCCTTCTCTTTATGGAAAATTTTTACAGGTCCAATTGTTGGTCCATCGGATCCGTCTGCGACTACGATATATGAAGTCGTGCAAAGAGCTGCAAAACTCACTTCAAACGGTCCTTTTTTGGGAGAATTGAAGAACGGAGAATACTCATGGAGTAGTTATAATACTGTAAGAAAACCAATTCATATATTATAGGTAGCCCATATAAACAATTCCTGAAAACATAGACCTTGTAGGTACTTTACGATGCACAAGTGGTTGGGTCAGCATTGCTGCATTTTGGTATCAAACCGGGTGACGACACTAGAGTGGGTATAGCTGGCATACACTCTTTACGGTAAACAAAATTCAGAATTCTCTTTTCTGTTATGATTTCCTCCTTGACAGATACATGACAGCTGTGCATGCTCTCGTCTCCTACAGTATGGTGCTCGTTCCTTTGTATCACAATTCGAGAATTGATGCCCTATGGTAAGAAATTTTTTCCTATATGTGAGAAATGCGGAAGAGTTCTGAATGAGAACAGTATAAAAGCGCTTTCCCATCACTGCTATGAATGAATGCCAGTAAGTATTGGTTGTTCCATAAGTTCGTAGCGTTTTCATTTGCGTCTCGTTTTCTGGTGAAGCAGTTGGTTTACGGCAAATTATCTGGTATTAATCGAAACAGCCAAATTTTTTCTACGAAACCTGCTTGTTGTTTTTGAAGCAAGCCTGGTGATCTTTGGCTCATAATTTCTCAAAGCAAAGTTTTTTGAATGGCAGAAAATGGCCATTTCGGCACCTGTGCTTTTCGCAATTCGTTTATATCCCACAAATATTTCTCTCTATGTATAGTCGGATTAGCAGGTAGCAAGCAACGCTGATGTGCTGACACAATGGTGTCCAGCCAGTATGCTAAAAAGTGTCTGAACGAGGTCTCAAAAGTTGCTGTCTTCGACTGCTGCAGCTTGAGTTTTAAACGTCGTTTCGTGACAGAATGTTCTCGTCCTGCTATCAAGCCTTGAGCGATGAACAGCTTTATCTAGGTGGTGCAGAAGTTTGAAAGCAATCGGTGACCAGCGATTTTACGCTTTCCCGAAAAATTTTGGCTCAGAAAACTTCCTCATTCTGGCCAAACGCAGAACATCTACACATACCGTAGAAGTGCGCTCTATCATTCTCTGCAGCGTCTCCTTTGACAAGGATTCTTCTTCTACGTGCATCATAGTCCGGTAAACAGTCGTTTTTAATTACTCATAACAATTTCGAATGGAAATTTTGCTCTCGTAATTTCTTATATAGCGCCGAAGATGAAGATGCCGAAAACGCCATCTTTTGCTACACAGAAAACTCTGCTTTGAGCAGTCACAAAATAGAAGTCATCAAGTTTACTTTGAAAATAATACGCAGTTCTTGTAGAGTAGAATTGGCTCTTTCGGAGGGTACACATATTTTGCGGTAAACCAACCGCTTCAGAAAACGACGACAAAAATAAGAACATTACGAACTTATCGACCTAATATTTGAGTATTTTCTGGTGTTACCCAAACTGGTCACATTTTGGGAAAGAGTAAACAGCTGTGAATTAAGTTTTGGAAGTCGACATTGGGATACCTCATCATACTCCAGCAAAATCACAACATTTATGATGTAAACAATTTTCAAAGCCAATTGTACTCATTTTACTGTATTATTGCAGCTATGATATCGCATAAAACTTGTAAGAAATATGGTATCCTGCAACCCCTACAATTTTTTTTGTTGTTCAGACTTGGGTTTTGGGATCGCTAGTTTTTCAAATAGTTCCACCGCTAAGTGGTGAACAAGCTCGCAACAGGGAAGATAGAAACTAATGACAGGAAAACCGATTTCATTGAGCTTCAAGTGACGCCGAACATGTTGATTATTTTGGCTTGTTGCAAAAACTGACAGAAAAAAAATTCACGTACTTCAGTCTACTTTAGTTTTTATGGTGATTAAACCATGGATCATTTCCAATCAGTGAAATTCTAGCGACGTAATCAATCAGTGCGAACTGGAAGTGATTTTCTGCGACGATGAAGCCCGTGCAGAAACTTTCATCAGCAAGATGATCGCCGGGGTGATAAAGGCACCAAAAAAGTTGATTATCCTTAAAACAACCAACAAGCAACCGAATGGTGCCCATGCTACAGTACCGGACTTGGAGGTGAGTCAAACAATCATTCACATGATTTAGAGATTGAAATGTTTTACAGCTCTACTCTTATGATTATGTTTATACTCTTGGTGAGCAACACTTGGCGCCTATTGTTCCACCGTCTCCAGACTCCACTTACATCATATGCTTTACCAGTGGGACCACAGGTGCTCTTGTTACACAGACTCTTGTCCAAATCAGGAATTGAAAACTCCATTCTAGGCCAACCAAAAGGAGTGGTACTGTCACATCGTTGCTTGCTGGCTGCAGTCATCGGCATTCACATCCAATTCACCTCACCACCCAATAACCTTAGCTTCGGAAAAGATGACGTCTATTTCAGTTTTCTCTCATTGGCTCATATTTACGAACATCTCATGCAGGTATGTCAGCGAAGCTGCTCTGTAAAAATACTCCTCAAAGGGAGATTTCCTGAGCAAATAAAGGAATTAGTATATATTTAGACCTTCACGATCTACGCCGGCGGTCGAATCGGTATCTATAGTGGAGAAGTGTCTCGACTGTTAACTGACATTCAGGTTTGAAAAGACGCAATCGTTTTGCACTGTGCCTTTTTCATACTTTTGTGTTTATTTTGTGTCTTCTCATCTCGCTTCAAAAATATTAATTTGGCTGAAAAAGAATTCGTTTTTTCGCGCAAATTTCCGCAAAAGTATTTCTTGCGTTTTTTATAAACGAAATTTGAGGAGGTTAGCTCAAAGCTTCTACTATCATAGACCAACCATTCAGAATTTTCTACTATCAGTAAAGCACAGTCATGCCTCAATATAGCTAAATTTCGAGAAGCTCAGTTGTTTGACTTTTGAGCTTTCTAAGCTTCATTCTCAAGTTGTTATGGATGTAAGGATGAGTACATTGGTAATTGAATATACACAAGTTTTCTTCGTTAGCAAATAGCAATGGAAGTTGCGATCTGCCATTAAGCCAAGCCACTGTCAGGCGGCAGCTCAGATGATGCATTCTTGGTCTGGAGCTTATTTGAATCCTAGCGCAAACCTCATCATATCGGAGACCCAAACTGCGACTTATACGGGGACATACGGTCTGGGTGGAATTTGAATATGAAAATCTTTGCCGTATATCCTCACACTGAGTTTTTATTATATTGTTGGAAAATGTTACTTTAGCTATTGCGCAATGTCGTAACATGGTTCAAGAATACAAGTCAAAATGGTACTTTTAATAGATCAAAGCAAGCTTACGAGGAAAAATTCGCAACAAGTTTGATTTACGTGAAGTTTGAAGCCAAATTACAAAGGGATTTGGGTGCCTTGTAAATTGAAAAAAACCTATCTCCGTTCGAAAAAATCCTAGCAACTTCCAACTTGTTCAAGCACAATTTCTATCAGACGCTTCTCTATTTTTCCATGGCAAGAAACCAAAAAAAAGAAATTTAGCATGCTTTCGCTGAAGCGATCCTGAGCTTCTCCCACATAGGTAATTCTATAGTTTTAACCTACAGAATGACCATTGATCTTCGGCTTACTAAAGCGCCAGTTTTTGAGAAATAGTGAATTTATTGAGAAAAATCCGACATATCTACCTACACCTCCGACCTATCGTTTCTCGTGTTGTAGTTATGGAAAAAATTCCACAGACTGTAATTGAAATTCTCTTGGACGAAGTTGCGAACGATTAGGGTATTTATAATGTTTCATATTTCGGATTCAAACTTCATGTGGAACAAAATTTCCGCGGATGTTCGTATTCCATCCTGTAGTGCTCGCTTTGCTCTATAACACTGGATCCTGCTCACTTTCTTTGTCTCTACCCTGCTGCGATAAGATGTGATGCGACATAGTTGCCAAACATTTTATTACATTTGAGAGCGAGACACATATTTACAAAAACTTTGTTGGTTTAGCTGATCAAAGAGACAATATACAGAACTACCCAATTTTATTCTGAGTCTGAGCGAGCGGTTGCCACATTTACACCACTTTCACCCATTTTGTTGATCCTTGCTAGCAAAAACAAGCACACTCGTTCATCACTTGCAAAGAAGTTTCTGTTCAAAACGATAAACTAACTTCCACTTTTAGTGCAAATATTACTACGCCCGTTTTTATAGATCTTGCGTCCGACCATCATCAGTCTAGTTCCACGCCTGCTGAACAAGTTTCATGATCACATCCATGCCCAAATTGCAAAGAAAAATGTTTTAGTGAGAAAATTGTTCGAGTACGGAAAAGAGGTGAGACCTAGTTTCAACTGGATGTGATCCGGTATACAGTACGTTGTTTTCAAGGCAAAATTGAGGATGTTGCACAAAGGAATTCAGCAATATGACATAATTTGGGACAAACTTGTATTTGGCAAGGTAAACAGTTCGAAAGGCCTTTCTCGAGTTTGATTTTTGAACATGAACTTCGTACAGATGAGTCAAGTTCTTGGTGGTCGCGTTCGGATGCTGACGACCGGAGGTGCCCCGGTAATTCCAGCAGTGATGGATTTTACCCGAATAGCATATGGATGCCCTCTAGTTGAGGGGTAAGTGAATAAAAACCACTTTTCATGTTTGGGAGTTTGTTTAATTGATCTTTACAATTTCCCGTCCCTTTAGATATGGGCAAACCGAATGTGCTGCAGCTGGTACACTAAGTATGCCATGTGACACTTCAAACGGCCACGTCGGAGGACCTTCACCATGGGCCCAAGTGAGCTTATTTGAACTGAGATCCAATAATATTTTTCCTGTATTCAGGTGAAGTTAGTCGATGTTCCGGATCTGGGCTACTACTCAGCGAACAACAAGGGCGAAGTATGCTTTCGCGGAGCGGCTGTAATGAAAGGATATTACAAGGATGACGAGCTATCCAGCAGAACCATTGATTCTGAAGTAGGGAGGATACTACTCAATGTTGTTGCATTATTCGTAGATTAAGTATTTCCAGTTTGGCATAAGAATTACGAAAAATCTATTTTCGACATGCTCAAAAAGACTTTTCAATTCGTCCTATATAATTTTAGAATGTAGCATTTTCTATTTCAGTATTAGAGATTTTCTTCAACAACCAAGTCGAAATATTCAATTGAAAAGTCCAATGTATCTGTATATGTGGACACCCGATCAACACGAGTTTAAAACTGGAAATATACTAAGACTATCACGGCGTCTCAATATCAACTATTGCTGATATGCCAAAAATGACTTTTGCATCGGTCACTGATAGAAAAAGCACGTTTTTCTCTCTAACATGCGTAGCCTTTTCGGATGAAGTGGCCTTACCAAATGGCACCTGTATCTCTTGATAGGGCATGGAACGGTGACTCCAAATCTGTCTTCATTTTCTGCGGAACAACTCTCCGAAAGAAGTTACGAGTGCTCAAAAGTCTAAATATATCAAGCTTTGAGTGGCATACAGTTAGCGAGAAGTTTTACAAAAATCCTGTGCAAATTTCTACAGAATGTCTCCCCTCCTCGTTGTCAATATACTTGATATATTGATTAACACATTGACGACCATGCAGATTTTTAGTTGTCTGCCTTCTGGGACCAAGGCCACTTACGGACCAGCCCGCATTTTTCAACTATGATTACGCATACTGCCATCTACAGTACCCTACAGTAGATCTAAAATGCTGAGAATAACGGTAGAGGTCATCCCTAGACTCAGTGCAGAAGAAAGCTCGTGGAGTGTGTTTATCAAAGTATAGTAGTTATTTTAACAAAATTCAAGCCTTGCGGTCCCACGCGGTAGTCATGCTCAAGCCTTGCGGTCCCACGCGGTAGTCATGCTTGACACACCATGTGTGTCAAGCGGTCATCAATGTGTTAACCTTTCATCTGTCTTCGTACAGTTTTTTGTTAGTTTTGTGTTACTTATAGCATGACAAACTTAAATTTTCAAACACCATAAGTTCTTTGGAAGCTTTGTTCTGCAGAGGAAATCATATTTGGAGTCAGCGTTCAAAGGCGCGTCTAGTTGTCTAGGCGTCATATAGAAAGGCCACTTCGACTAGGAAGGTTTCTTTGTAAGCTATCTTAAGTTAGACGCCAGAAGTAGAAAAAGTACATTTTCTTGAGGGTTCAAATGTTAGACATATGGACTAACTAAGGACTTTTTAGGGTTGGCTGCATACCGGTGACATCGGCGAATGGTTACCGAATGGTGCGCTGAAGATAATCGACAGAAAAAACGCTCTTTTCAAACTTGCGCAGGGTGATTTTGTGTCACCAGAACAAATCGAGACTATTTACCTCAATTCTCAACTAGTCGTGCAGGTAAAAGGTTATGATTGAGTAGCTGATGCTGTTTATACTGACAAAATTCCAGATATTTGTCACTGGAGTGACCACTCGTTCATTTTTAGTCGCCGTTGCAGTGGCAAATATTGCAAATCTTCGAGAAGCACTTGAATCAAGGAGTGATGTATGCTTTCAGTTGTTAGGAAGAAGCTTTGAATTTTATTGAAGTAATTTTGTAACAAAGTCTGTATTTAGTTGATTCGATACGCTGAGCTTCCCTCGGAAAAAATGCTAAACGAATCTGAAGTACAAAGATTTGTGCTTCAAGAACTCAACCGAACCGGGAGGGAGAAAGGACTGCGATCAATCGAACTAGTCAAAAGCATATACCTCATTTCAGAGGTAACGCTTTTATGTGATATTTTTTTCCAAAAAATCAACTCTTTCAGGAGCTAACACCGGAGAATGGTTTAGTCACGCCAACATTGAAACTCCGGCGACACCTTCTAAAAGAAAAGTTTTCTAAACAGATAGAGCGAATGTTTGCTGAGGAGACAGCTTTATGATATATGCATAATATTCGATAATTCCTGACAGCCTTTTAGCGTAATTGCGGATGTATAATACAGTTTTCTTGATTACTGGTGCTTTTCATAACAATTCCATTGCAAGTAGCCGCAAAAAATCCAGCATAGGTCTTATCATGCTTCTTCGTCTTCCTCTGAGAACTAGTATTTTCAGCAAAGTCATATTTAGCATGAATAGGGAAGGGAAAGGGCGACCTTATGGCATCGTTCACGCACGTAATGTAACAACACTAACTTTGCCTCTCCTTTCTCTTGTACGTTTTTCCATTCTTCATTTTCAGCTTTCCTCGATTTTTTCTACGGAGATTTGCAGGAGCATCAATGCTGATACCGAAAAGTCCGGAATTTTGAGCCAATAATGGAAGTTAAAAAATGTCAAGAACAGTTGAATACTATTTCAAAAAAAAAGTCAGGATTTAGCTTCCACACATGCGACATGTTTATAGAGAGAAGTCATGACACTCCACCAGCTTGAGAGTGAGGAGAGTTTTTAATAACTGTGGAAAATTTCCCCTTTAGTATGAAAGCATTTATGTTACAACCAAAAACCCTTATCTCAAGGCAGAAGAAAAAAGAACACTTTGTTTGTTATTAACAAGGTAGATGAACAGCTTTTCAAACTTGTGTCATGCCAATTCCAAGTGCAGTCTGAAAAAGAGAAAAACGATCCGCACCCATTCACGCAGTGGTAGAATGCCCTGGGGTGCAAGTCCTACCAGGCAGCAGCCTGGTGCCACGACCAACCGCCAGAACTGGCACCAACGCGCGGCCCTTGTTCAAAAACATAAACTCCTTTCCGACAAAGTGGCTTCGGATAGCCTAACAATAAGATACAAAAATATTCGTGGACGGTACTGCGCTCGACTCATTGGACCGCTACTACCGACCGTTTATAGGCGAACAAAAACGAACATTAACTGAGCAAATGAACGAAAAATCAATTGAGTGAGCAAAACGGGAGGAGTCAATGAGGATGAAGAAATTTGTTGTTCGTTTTCGCGACAACTAGTGATCTGAGATTGAATGAAACATCAACCCTTAAAATATAGAGACCGGATAATGACACGTAACAATTGCTGAGAATCAACAGAATAACAACAAAACTAACAAAAAAAAGCTAGCTCAGCCTACCTAAAAGGAAACTCAGTGATAGCTAATACATAAGCCTACGTAAAACTCGAGAAAACTAAAACTACAGAGATTTAGAAATAAAGGATAACTGGTTACATCTTCCGCCGATAGTAAGTGGCGTTCCCGACACTTAGTATGGACAATAATGATAGTTGCATCTTCTACGAGGGTGTCCGAATCCCTCTCTTGAATAGTGGTAGGACTCTTCCATGGGGTCCTGGTTCGTGTGCTGGTGGCTTGTATCCGTGCGCAGGGTGTCTTCCTTCGTGTAGTCGTTGTCCGTGATGTCGCTCATCGCGTGGTTGTTGTCCATGAATATCTTCTTCGTGTGGGCGCTGTCCATATCGTCTCTGGTGCGTTCCTCTTGTTTGGCTTTTGTCACTGTCTAATGGCATATCTGCTTTGACGTAATCATTAATGCTGCAAGAAAATCGACTACCACTGCATTTTGTAGCCTGTCCATTCATTTTTTCTTGATCACATTCCTACTGCCAACGCCGGTTCCGTGATTGCTGGAGGTTGCGGTGTTTTCGTGACAACATTAGCCTTCGTAGCATAAGAAGATTCTTTCACATTGTTTATGACTTCAATCGTTTTGAGCCTCATTGCCTCCCACTCTTTTTCTCCTCTTGGTGGAGCCAGTGCGAGTATTCTTGTTTCTGACCGTGCCACGGTAGTGAGAAGCATTCCGGGCATCATCCACTCTCCTTCTGTTGGTAGCTTATTAGTTGCTGGTCCTACGAACATTATGTTCTGTGGCTCCTAAAACTGTCTTAATTTTCTTGGAGATGTCTTAGAGTGACTTATAGATAAAGGTTGTCATGTTAGGCCCGAACTTCACAGCATGGTTGAAAAATGCGAAACCTTGCGGCAAGATAAGAATGGCTTTTCTTCCTTCTTTTCGATTGTCACTTCAGTCCATGGCTTTGCATAGCGTAGGGAGCTACCTTTTTTACCAAGGGGTTACCCGGTCGATGATTAGGCCGCTATTCCAGTCAATACGCATAAGCAAACTGCTACCCTCGTGTCGCATTAGGTCTCTCATGGTATGTAAGCGATGACGTTTGAAGAATACGTAAGCTTTTTGTGTTTTCGAGGTGGTTACGAATGTACACTTCTTATCTTTCAACAAGAAGTTGCGCTTATCCGCGTCTCGTTCTCGTTCGTAGATTAGCGACCCCAGGGGTCGCTAGACAGTGGATGCGGACAGATAATCCGTAAAGGCAGATACATTAATTGATTGAGAAGGCAGATACATTAATTAGAGCATTACGTCTCTGTTCAGATATTCCATATTGTTTTGGGTACAATCTGGAAAATATATCAATTTGATATTGAACGATGACGAGTAATAAGAGTATTAGGCTGTGATCCATTCAAAGTTGATATACATATTTCGTGCAAGGCATTTTCGTTTCCATTGAATTCTGCACATCATGACAGAAATCGAGTTTTTGCAATTGTATGTTTCTTACAACTAAGCTTTTCTATTTTAATATTTTGAAGATAATCACAAGGGTAACCACGTGCAAGAAACACTAATTACATGATTCAAAACACCACATAGTTCAAAGAAAGTTTCATATTGATCCGAAACATTTGTCAGACAAAATATACAAAAGTCAAAAATGCATAATTCACACGAACAGACTGATTCCCTACCAATTTTATTCAGGATTCTGCAAGCAACGAGTAGGTCATAGATGATTGGCATTATTGAATCAAACTCGTTGAGATTTTAACAAAAAAGCTTGCTTCAAATGTCAAATGATTTTCAACTTCAAGCTCTGGAAAAAAGGGCGAAAGTGCAGAAGATACCATGAAAAAAGTGCAGTCACTTAAGAAAGTAAAACGAGAAAGTAATAGTACAATGGGCAGGGAACTCCATTTATTGATTTTCCTTATTATCGGAGGAGTAAGAGGTCAAAATAGCTTGGCGTTTTCTACATCAGACTGACTGACCTACTATATCTGTGAGGTTATCGTAGTGGCAGCTATAACACATATGATCGTCTCCACAATTTGTGTAGAGGCGGTTTGCGGACTTCCCTTGATTTTAGGGATGAACTTGTTGGACCTACACGTCATAGCATTGTTTGGGTTCCTTCATACTACGTCGCACCATGGCGACCGCAGCGGTGTGCGTCGTACCACGCAGCGTACGCCGCTGCGGTCGCAGTGAGAATTCGCTCATGGCAGAACACGCTGTTTATCAGTATTTCTATATCTGCTGCTCGTTCATGTTCTCCGAGAGTATTCAAAGTTTGCAATCTCTTCTCTCTTTTAACTTGTCTCACGTTGAGCCGCGTCCTGCGCGTAGTATGAAGGAACCCTTTTTCGTACTCTCTCGCTATTGAAAACGCCACCGTTGAGCTGGCAAAACCCTGCCTCTGCACGAATTATGGAGTCAACATTACAAAGTGCGACATATTTTCGTGATAGCGTTTTTTTAGTGACAACCAAGAAAGCATTCTCAAATAACAAAAGCAAAAGCAATTACAAGAAGTTAGAATGAGTTTATTGCCCTTAGTCGTCATAACTTTCTTTCAAGTTGAGTTCAAATACAAACTCAGGCTCACAGTGCTTTTTTGAATTTTCAAAAAAAACCCACGCTGCTTCAATTCGAATACAGGAAGCTAGTCATACTGTTTTAAACATAACATCCGAGTACTGGTGCAAATTTGCACCAGTACTCTCACTGAATCTTTCATGCCAGGCAGTAATGGGTATGGAAAGATAAATCTTTCATCTTTCCATACCCATTACTGCCGTTTTAATGACAAATAAGGGATCGGCCATACTATTCCTATTACTCACTGAAACACCGTTATGACCGACCGTTTACCGGCGGAACAAAAACGACCACTAACTGAAATAAAAAAATTAATGATAAAACGGGAGGAGTCAGTGGGGATCAAAAATTTGCCGCGCGTTCTCGCGACACCCAGTGATCTGAGATGGGATGAAACATCAAACCCTTAGAATATAGAGACCGGATAATGACAAGAACAATGAAGTAACAATTAATGAGAGACCAACACAATAACAACAAAACAAACAAAAAGTAGCTAGGTCAGCCTACCTAAAAGAAAACTCAGTGATAGGTAATGCATTAGCTATCACTGAGTTCTTTAGGCGTAGAAGAGGAAACAGGACTTTTTACCATAAAAACTATTCTTATTAGCCTACACAAAACTCAAATAAACAAATCTACATTAATCCAGAAATAAAGGATAACTACGAATGCAACACCTTAATTTCAAGTTGCATGAAATCACTGAGGAAAAGGTTGACCTGAAGCTTGTTAACAGCTGGTGACGATTCATTGCAGCTGTCTGCGACAATGACTGTGGTGAGCCAAAAGTGATATTTTGACAATTAAACGTGTCGTCAGTCCCTATGCCTCTATATGAGTATGCTTTTAACCAGTGCTCCTAGCGCGGATTGATAACGACTAGAGTGTAGTATTGAAAAAAGTGACTCGCTGTTGAGCAATCACTAAGGGAATCCGTCGCCATAAGTGTCTTTTGCAAGCGAATAGTACGCAATCCCGTCTTCATGCTTTTTGAAGAACGTCGTTTTTATGCACTCGACCCATTCCAACAATTTATTCCGCCGCGCGTTGCTCAGATATTAAATGTAAAGAGGGCCTTCCAAAATCAGAAGCAATTTCTGACCCGATATCACTAGTAGATAAAGAAAAGCCTGCTACTGATTCCACTCATACCTCCTTCGCAACTGAATCTTTCTCTAATCATCCTTCTCACTTGGTGCCAGGTAAACTCTGATCTAAATCTTTGAAATTTGATTTTCAACATGTTCAACTATTCGCAACAAGGCGTACTCGATTTTGTGGCCTATGTGCGCCAGACGAATGGAATCATTCGGCCATCAGCAACGTAGCTAGCTGAAATGCAGGCCTT